TTGCTTGTTATAAATTTAGGGATGAGAGTGCTACTGACATCTAGTGGGTGGAGGCCAGGAATGCTGCTAAGCATCCTACAATGCACAGGATGGCAGGGTTTTACGGTTGTGAAACCTTGCCTTAATTAAGTTTAGCAGTTTCCAAGAATTGATTGAAACAAATGGCTTTATTCAAGAAGTTTTATTTGGTTTAAAAATAAAATGTATGCTAGACTTTTTAATTTTTAGAAATTACCTTAAAATTTGGAGGAAAGTTTACCTATAATTTTATAATCCCGGGTACAATTAGTTTATAGAAAATTGTACTTTCTGGTTTAAAAATAAGCCCACTTTTGAAATAACAGTTGTCTGTTAATGTAGGGGAAAAATCATGTAGTTAGAATTTCAAGAAATGGTTATCACTTGAATAAAACATTTCATAGAGTAACTTGAACTAAATTTTGTTGTTTTATCTAATCAGTTTAATTTTGATTCATCCTACAGAGCTGTTTTGCCAACTTGGAAACTGGCCCTTTTCTGTTTTACCCTTAATAGAAGTTGTTAGTGCTCCTGGAGTGTTCCTGGAGTACTTCTTTTCTGTGGGACCTCATAGGCAAAATTAGCTTCTTTCCTTTCTCTTTGGGACCATGACAGAACTCCCCTGCACTAGCACCCCATTCCCCAAAAAAGCAAGGGGGCATGGAAATTTATTTTTATTTTTTGTCTTATTACTAGAGGTGCTGTTTTCCTCAGTTCTCTGCTACTTTAAACATATCATGTAAACATTCTGGAAACAAGATTCAAAAAGTTTTTGTAGTTTTTTTGCCAGTGTGCTTAACAGAGCAGAAACACTGTATCTCTTGACTCTTGGGAGGGCTTGGTAGTGCTTCTGCAAACTATCTGCCTTTGCCATAGCATGTTTCTTCTGAATAGGTACAGATTCCTAGGGTTGTTACTGCTGTTTGCTTAGCAGTGTTTTCAAATGTTTTGTGTTTGACTCTCCTAAGTGAGAACAAGATTAGTGTCTCTAGTTTAAATGACTGGGCTCCTGATGTTTAGGTTGGGGACTAGATTTAAATTACTGGTAGAGCTAGAACTAGATGTTAGTGAATGACACTTACTTTGAGAACTTTAAAAATTGCTAACTGTGTTTGGTTCTGTTTCAAATGTAACAAATTGTCTTCTGTAGTGCAGACCTTGAATTTTACATGGCAGACAACACTTGTATTTTGTGCCTCCAGTAGATCCATTTTATTTCCCTTGACCATTTTTCTACAGATATTTGTCAGGACACGAATCAGGTTCTCTTCAAATGCTGCCAGGGGTCTGAAGAGGTACCCTGCAACAAACCAGTTCCTGTAAGCCTCTCTGAGGATCCCTGCTGCCCACTGCATTTCCAGTTGCCTCCTCAGATGTATAAGCCCGAGCAGGTACTGTCTGTGCCAGACGATCTGGAAGCCGGCCCCATGGATCTGTACTTGAGTGCTGCCGAGCTTCAGCCCACTGAGAGTTTACCTCTGGAGTTCAGTGATGTAAGTTAGAGAAGCTCTGCTCTGGTTGGTCCTTGAGGCAAGGCCTTATTTATTAATGGTGAGACTAGGTTAGTCTTTTGTGGCCAGGAGACTTTGATAAAGTTTTTGAAATGATACATGTATGGTTGTTATTTGTATGTTAGCATATTGATTTAGAGACAGTTAAATTGGAAGGAGTTTTTCTTTTTTGAGGGAATAAGGGAATTAAATTGTAAACTATGGGAAGTTGGAAAGTGAAGATTATGGTTGGATTTGGTATAGCCAGGAAACTTGGTACCCATCCACAAGGTGAGTGATTCACTAGAATCTTAATAATACAAATGAATTCCTATATCTACTCTTGACAGTTGTAAGCTTGTGTTTTTGCTCTGTAGTTGTAAAGGTTTCATTTTCAGGTTAATTTGCCCCCCCAAGAAATGACTCTAAACTTAGCTCTGGCTGCTGGCTTTTATTTTTGATATGTTATTGTAGATTCCGTTGTGAATGGACTAGAACAACAGTGATATCTTTTTAAGTATTTACAGCCTTTGAAGTATGTACACTACTTTTTAAATTGGTCCCAGCCCGTAAACCCATCTCTGATTTTATTTGTTCCCCTAGTTAGCACTACCCTTCTATCTGACTCAGGGATCAGTTGTCATACCATCTCTGTCTTAGCATTTTACTTAATATTTAGTGTTCTGGATAAAGGTCTTCATTGTTTATTCTGAAGATAAGTCTGAATTTCATAATAAAGATGTGTTGTATATAACCATGACATGTTTAACACATCTAAATGGAAAATTGAATATAGGTTATAGGATTATTTTCTAAGAGTAGAAGCAAAGTTTGGCTTCAAGGGTATTGCTTGCTAAAAAGGATATACCAGGATAGGGTAATATCTGAAAAAGAAAAGTGGTATTAAGAATAAACTGATTCTAATTTTTTTTTCATAACCCCCCCTTTTTTGGTTACAAATGATCTACAGGCTTATTTAACTTTTTCATTATTTCATTTACAATAAAATTTAATTTTTATTACAATCCTGATTATAAATGCTTTTTTAAAAATTTCTTCCACACAGATTTCATAGAATATGAAAACTAGAAAGGGACCTTATTGTATACTTCAGTACTTCCCAAAGTTTTCCAATGAGATTATGTTGAAGAGGGTAAATGAACAGATAGCCCTTTGTTGATAAGGACAGAGTTTTGTCCACTTCCCTTCATTTTAAATGTGAAGAAAATGCAGAGAGGTGCTTTTTTTTTTTTTTTTTAGCTTTTAGTAACATGAGCAACTTTATAAGGTCTGAAAATTAACCTAATAAGCACTACCATCACCACATTCCTTTCAGATAATAATGTACATATGTAGAAACTAGCACATTTATTTTATGTATATGTATTAGGCTAGGAACTTTTATTTCATCTGATAATTTCTTAGAACCATTTCTGTTTTGACCTTTCTGCTTTTCCCATTTCATCTGTTTTTGCCATATGAGTATTGCTCTTTGGAGAATTTTTACACAAAATATTAGAGATTATAAGATTTCATGATTATATGTGAAACTGACATTTAAGGAATCTCAGTTTTAAAAATATTTAGGGGCGCCTGGTGGCTCATTCAGTTAAGGGTACGACTCTTAATTTCGGCTCAGGTCATGATCTCAGGGTCCTGGGATCCAGGCCGGCGTCAGGGGAGTCTCTGCTCAGCAGGGAGTCTCTTTGGCCCTCCTCCTCTCTCTGCCTCTCCTGCTTGTGCGCTCGCTCTCAAATAAATAAAATTTTTTAAACATACTTAACATACTGTCAAATCTGTTAATTCTTATTGTTTGGGTTTTTTTTTCTTCTCTTCCAAAAAATGTGTGAGAAATAACCTTATTTTTGGGATTCCAGTGGGTTTTTAAGATGGACCTTTGATGTTAGAGTTTTAAAAATAATAAACAATTATTTGTACTTGATCATCTCTTATGTTCATAATATGCTTTTGATAAATCATATTGGTCATTGTAAGTATAGTTTTAATCTTTGGAGGTAATTCTTCAGAAGATGTTGGAACAAAATCCAGTTTTAGAAAAGAAATTTTGTCCTCCTATAAATTCTGGATATATTTATTAGTATACAGTTTTGCTGGGGAAAAATGATTTCTTAATTGTGTGAATTTCACCAAGCAAGCTTAGCTTGTAACCTACATTCTGCCTTAGATATCATTTCTATAACTTGTTAATAACATCTGGTAATTTTACCCATGGGAGGACCAGGTGTTAGATATTAATCTAGGTTAAAATTCAGTGTTTCATTCTGGATATTACACTTGCCTGTTTTCTCTGCTTTGATCCAAGGATGTTTGGCAAGTAACAACCTAATACCATAATCCTACTACTTTTTGTGTGTGATTTTTGAGATTAGAACAAAATGTGGATTCTGTCTTTATGTCCTGATGGACTTATGTTTCTAAACATTCCTGTTGTGATAGGCATTTCTGCTGATCCTCTCTTCTTCTTTAGGTTCCTTTCCCCAATTTTAATTCTTGTAACAGACAATACAAACATGTGAGAAAAGTCTTTTCATTATCTATTTTCTTTAGAAAATATTTCTGTACCATTGTCATCTTGAGACTTGAAATTTTATGCCTCACCACTTAAATATGTTCTTTTATTTTCATTTATTTATTTTTTTAAAGGTTTTACTATTTATTTGTCAGAGCGAGAGCACACGCATAAGCAGGGCGAGTGGCAGGCAGAGGGAGAAGCAGGCTCCCTGCTGAGCAAGGAGTCTGATGCAGGACTGGATCCCAGGACCTGAGCCAAAGGCAGACACTTAACCAACTGAGCCACCCAGGTGTCCCTAAATGGGTTCTTTTAAATTCCGAGTTAATTATTTGTATAATTGCATAGTAAAAGAATTGGAGAAAACCGTTCACAGGCTTAACCACGTAGGAATACTGGTTTCTGTGGATAATACAGAAGTTTCTAGGCACCTGGGTGGCTCAGTCAGTTTAGTGTGGGACTCTTGGTTTTGGCTCAGGTCATGGATCTCATGGGTTGTGAGATCCAGCCCTATGTCCAGCTATGTGCTCAGTGGGGAGTCTGCTTGAAGAGTCTCTCCCCCCACTTGCACACTCTCTAAAATAAATAATTAATAATTTCTAACACATGTGAAATCGATGTTAGGTAGCTGACCATATCCTTTTCTGAATTTCTGCTTAAATTGAACAGTTATAATGTACATTTCTTTAATATTCTTTAATTATTGTGAAGTGTGATACTTAATTTGGTGATTAGCACACCAAAGAAATGGAACGGGTTTCAAACTCTTAGACTTAATTTAAAAGCATAGAACTAAGTCTGTTGTAAAGCTAGATTACTGGAAACAGAGCCTCTATAGAGTGGACTGGGCATAGGGGAGTAGAAGCCCTTTGTAATTTTCACTCTTGGGAAGGGAGTGTTGCAGTAGACTCTTGGTAGCTTGAAAGTCAGTTTGACACATTGTCTGTGGCTTTGCAATGCTTTTGGCCCTGAAATCAAGACCAGTGGTTTGCTGTAGCTGTTGGTTTCAAACAGGAGCCAAGAGTGGTGTGTTTCTTTTTCTTTTTTTAAAGATTTTATTTATTTATTTGACAAGAGACACAGCAAGAGAGGGAACACAGGCAGAGGGAGTGGGAGAGAGAGAGAAGCAGGCTCCCTGTACGGGGCTAGATCCCAGGACCCTGGGATCATGACCTGAGCTGAAGGCAGACGCTTAACGACTGAGCCACCCAGGCTTCCCCAGTAATGTGTTTCTGTGGTCTGTTAGCCATTCAGCATCCAGTGAGAATAGCTCGTTCGGTTGGAAGAACATAGTTTTTTTGGAATATGACCTTTTTTTTTTTTTGAAAGGTTTTATTTATTTATTTTACAGCGAGAGAGGGAACACAAGCAGGGGGAGTGGGAGAGGGAGAAGCAGGCTTCTTGCTGAGCAGGGAGCTCGATGCGGGGCTCAATCCCAGGACACTGGGATCATGACCTGAGCCAAAGGCAGACATTTAACGACTGAGCCACCTAGGTGCCCCTCTTTCTTTCTTTTTTTTTTTTAATTTTCTTTTAGTTTTTTTAAAAAGGTTTTATTTTAGAGAGTGGGAGGGAGAGGGGAGAGCAGGAGTGCAGGGGGAGGGGCAGAGGGCAGAAGCAGACTCCCCACTGAACAGAGAGCCTGGCATGGGGCTCCATCCCAGGACCCTGAGATCATGACCTGAGCCGAAGGCAGACGCTTAACCGACTGAGCCACCCAGGTGCCTGCCCCCCACCCCCCGCCTTTTTAAAGAGCAATTGAAGTATGTTTTGTTTAAGAATTAGGGATTTCTGGGTGGGAATAGGGACTTAATCAGAATAGTATTTCCTAGCTCACTGTGACTGTTAAGACATTACTCAAGCAATCTCATATTGTCCAGTCTTTTTTTTTTTTTTTTTAAGTAAGCTCTTTGCTCATCATGGGTCTTGAACTTAAAACCCTGAGATCAAGAGTCGCATGCTCTACCGACTGAGCCAGCCAGGCACCCTGCATATTGTCCAGTCTTTTAAAGCAGTATTTTATTTTAGTTTGTGATTATTCTGATTGTCCATATTAGATTCACCACTGGTGAACTTAGATGGTGACTATAGTTAGTCTTAGAAGGAATAAACTTTTTTTAAATAACATTTTTTGGTAAAATATTTGTAAAACATGAAATTTACTGTTTTAACCATTTTTAGGTGTACAATTCAGTGGTATTAAGTACAATCACAGTATCGCACAGCTGTCACCATTGTCCATCTCTAGAACTTTTCTGTCAGTCCTGAACTGTGTGTGCCCATTGAACTATAACTCTTGCTTCCTCTCTCCCTCCAGCCCCTGGTAGCTAGTATTCTACTTTTTGTCTCTGAATTTTTCTATTTGAAAATACTTTTTTTTTTAAAGCTAGTATAGTGGTCTGTGCTTTATACTCAGCAGCGAGCAAAAGTTCTTAGTGCTTTTGGATCTTATCCCATTTGTTGGACATTCTGGGAAAATCTTTTGATTAAAGGTAGGAAGGGGGTGAGGGAAATATGGGAAAATTGCTTTGAGGTTTGTTGAAAAATATGCCAGCTTCAGTTTATCGGTTTCCTTGATTTTGCTGATGGGCTTTTCTCTTTCTTTTCCTAGGACTTGGATGTTGTGGGTGATGGTATGCAGTGCCCTCCTTCACCCTTACTTTTTGATCCTTCACTAACCCTTGAAGATCATACAGTCAAAGAAATTGCTGAAGGCCCAGTGGATATTCTGGCAAGTGATGGACAACCCCATCCAGGCACAGGTCTTCCTGCCGGCTATGGCTAGCATGTACTCCCAGTGAGTGGGGTTGTCATCATGAGTAGCCTGTATGGGTGCCCCAGATGGGAGTTCTCCAGATGGGCCCTTAAAGAGAACAGCACTAGTCTCAGAATCTCAGAGAGCAGGACACAGGTTTCTTTAGTTAACTAGATGTTAAGATAAGGAATCTACGTAAATGGTTCTTTTTAAAGGGAGAGTTCAGCCCTGGAATTGTTTTCATCATAGAGTAAGGACAAGTAATGTGATTTGGCTTCTTTCTTTGAGCCTTGGGTGGGGTACTGGTGGCCCTGACTGAAGACTAGCAGTTGTACTGTAGCTGTTAGTTTCAAGCAGAGGCCCAAAGGACTGTCTTCCTGTGATCTGCTGGCTGTTCTGAAAACTCAGCAGAGAATGGCTGTTTCAGCGGAAGAAACAACCCACAGTTCTCCCTCTTGTTGGGAGGGCCTTAGGAATGCTACATGTCATGACTACTGACTCTAAGGGTTAGAGATAGTTAAGTATGGGGAAGAGTAACGTCTCAGAGTTACTGTATTTCTCCTGTCTTGATCTTGATAAGTCAGATTCATGTTTAAGACCATAATGAATGGATTTGTAACCAAAGTGACTTCTCTTTTAACAGGGCCAGATGCAGATGGCTGGAGATGGGTACAGATCACAGGGGTCTCGAAATTCTGAGAAAGCCTCTGCACCACTGCCTCAGAGTGGAGTGGCTACTGCAAATGGGAAGCCAGAATCCTCTTCTATCAGTTGATAATTTGTTTGGGGAACCATTTGACTTTGGCGGATTTGAATTTTCCATTCTTTAAACAAGTATTTATGACTGTCTCTCACTGAAGGACTACTCAGACTATGACGTTTTTCCTCTGGGTTATCGAGTGCTCTAGTCAAACATGAGCCAAATTTGTGGGGGAGGGACCAATAGTGTCTTCCCACTGCACTAGGAAGAGAGAGAGAGGTGATTCCTGTCAGAGCTGCTGGGATTGAGAGAGTATTTGGGATTGCGCCTAAGGGGAGAGAGATCTTTGTAATGGGAATTCCCAAGTCCAGGCACAAATACACATGTGTGTTTAGGTAGGAGATGTGTTCCCTTGGGATATTAATGGAACCCAGTGTCTGATTATCTCTATCTAATGGCCTGTGTTTTAGCCTTTCTTCACGTCTCACCTGATTGGTAATCTGAGCCCCTTCCCCCACTAAACTCTGACCTATAACCTCTGAGAATAGCCCACAGGACTGGGCCCTCCTTAACCATCCATCTTGCTTCTAACCTATGTAAATTTCTGTAGGGGCTATCTTATGTAAGATACAATAAAAAATTGTATATAGTTTCTATTAAATGTTAAAATGTTACGAAAATGTAAAACAATCACTTGAATGCATGTTTTCTTTATCTTTGAATGTGTGTATATATTTTTTGGGTTTGTAGGGAGTTGTCTCTGATGGGGAAGGGGAAAACAGGAGAGGTAAATTTCCATCCCAAGAAGTAAATACATTTTCAGTAACTTGGTTTGGTTTGGAGGATAAGATAAAAACCTGTAAGCAGTAAGTGGAAAGGGGCGGCACTTCCTTATTAAAGCCTGCCAGTTCCAGAAGTCTCCCTTTTATTCATCCTGCTCTCTGTGCCCACCTACTCCCACTTTTCTTTCTCCCAGTTGATGTCTGATTATCATCTCAAAATTCTCTAGAGCTAGGAATGTATGTGTGTAAAACTTCCATTGAAGTTGAGCCCGATGCTAGATCACAGAGATAGGCATACACCGTCAAGATAATTTTGATGATGAATCTAAAGATAGGGTTAAAACAGAAGTTCACTTAGGATTGAGTTTCCTATGCTAGAAGTTGTCTGTTACAGGCATACCTCGGAGATACTGTAGGTTAGGTTCCAGACCACTGTAGTAGAAACAAATACCTTGATAAGGCAAGTCAGGTGAATTTTCTGGTTTCCCAGTGCGTATAAAAGTTAGGTTTATACTATACCATAATCTATTAAGTGTGTAATAGCATGTCTTAAAAAAGTGCATAACTTAGTTAAAAAAACGTTATTGCCAAAAAAATGCTAACCATCATCTAAGATTTCAGCAAGTCATAATCACTGATCATAGATTACCATAACATATATAAGAATGAAATCTTCGAAGATTTACAAATGTGACACAGACACAAAGTGAGCAAATGCTTTTGGGAAAATGGTGCCAATACATTTGCTTGATGCAGAGTTGCCACAAACCTTCAATTTGTAAAAAGTGCAGTGTCTGCTAGGTGCAATAAAGTGAAGCACAGTAAAATGAGGTATGCCTGTAATTGTCCCTTGACCTTTGTTACAAGTGCTGCGCACCGGACTTAACATTATTTAGTAGCCCTATGATCTTCGTGGCCATTACCACGCTCAGTCCGGCCTGCAGAGAAGGCTCATTGAACTTAGTGATATTGGTGCCCTTCTTACCTGATGGCTTTGGTGAATGGGAATGTCCTCTGGGCCTCACATAATGGACCCATTTTGGCATATTCTCCCTGTACCTTTTGATTCCTTTGCGAGGGCAACTCCAGCATTTTCACTTTGCTGAGGGTTTGCCATTTTTTCCGCCTGGTTTCTGAAAGGCACTCCTGCAGCTAGTTTACCCCCATTCCCTAGGCTCCTGGCCAAGGTGTTAAATCCTGAGTACTGAGAACATGCTTCTAAGTCAATGACTTACCCAATTTTATGTTCTGGTCCCCTTGATTAAGCACTCTCAAAATCCAATTCCAGGGGTTTTCCCCAGCCTTCTACCAACACCTGCTAGCTAGTTATTAAAGAGTTCCTTTGAGGTACAACTTCTTTACTCCTTTATTAGGCCCAGTGCATTTCCGGCTGGGTTATGCTGGGATTGAACCCTAGTTATTGGCCTGGCAGAAAAGAAATGAGGTGGAGGCATCTTTGTATGAGCAAGAGGACACGTTTTGTGAGGATGGCCCTCTTTAAGAGATTCTTCTGCATGGGGGAAGTGCTAGCTCTTGATAGGGAGTGATGGGCCACCTCTGTAAACACGGTTTGTGGACGTCTGCAGAGCCAGGATCCTTGGGAGCTTCCACCCAGACGTCTTAATACCAGGATCCTTGGGAGCTTCCACCCAGATGTCTTAATACTGTACTTTAGGGTTCCAAGATTTTCTAATCAGGCTCCTGACCTTAGCATAACAGTACCACTTTGAGCATTTAAGCTTCTCTGGAATTCAACTCATTAAATCCTCAGCCTGCTTGCTACTCAGCTGTGAGTGCTTTTGTGCTGCAGGTGAAGGAGGCCTCCTTTTTGAGAAACCCCTTTGGCTCTCCTACTTTCCATTTAGGTTGTTAACTTTTTTTCAGCCTGTAATTACTTTTCCAGAATGTATTCATCATGTAACTGGAAGTTTTTACCTTTGACCGCCATCACCCATTTCTCCCACCCCCACCCCCTGTCTATGGCAATCACCAATCTGCTCTCTCTTTCTTTGTTTTTTTTAGATTCCATGTGTAGGTGGGATTATACAGTATTTGTCTTTGGCTTATATTACTTACCATAATGTCTTCAAGGTACATGTATATTGTCCCAAATGGCAGAATTTCCTTTCTCCGGGAAGTCTTGTGACCAGAATGTTGTGGGGTAAAGACAGGTTAATGCCTTCAGATTCCAGCAACCATGGATGGTGTGTAATGGGTAAGAGGTCATAATCTCGATCTTTGAAATCTAGCTTCTTCTAAGTGGAGAGAGTATTTTCTGGATTCCCTGTTGCTTCATTTTCCTAACACTTTGAGGTCCCCAGCTGGCTCAGCTGCCCAGATCTCACAGCCTGCAATGATTGGTCACTTTGGTTGTAACCCTAGGTCGCCAGGACTGTTCCCATCCTGGCATCATCAGATACTACCACTGACCTCACTGTTAGCCCCCTGTGGATGGTTCTATTTGATGGGTATATCTACCCAACTTTTCTCAGACTTGGTCTGCTTAGTTCCAGATGTCACTTTGATTTCGCCTGTTTTCATCACTTGCCCAGGTATCACTGATGCAGCTGAGCTGAAGATGTAGCAGTGGGAGTGTTGGTGGGTAAAGAACCCAGGCATACAGCTTGCAAATGACTTCTGTCTTCCCAGTCTTAACATTCCTTCTGCTGATTAGCTGTAGCCATCTACCTGTGTTTCACGGCCTAGTGAACGGCATACCATCCCCCCAGTGACGAAACTGGCCATCTGGAAGTCATCCATTGTTACCCATCTCTTCTGCCCACACCCAACTGATCACTATCACAATTCTTCCTTCATAATATCCTTTGAGTTTTTCTTTCTTCATCTCTACTGACATTACCTTATTTTGAGCCACAGGTTGCAAACTGATGACTTTTGTACCAGATTTGGCCCATATTTGGTTTGTGTGTGTGTGTGGTTTTTGTTTTTGCACAATTTTGAAGATGAAAAAGTTACCTTAAAATTTTCTTGACTGTTTGGAAGGTCTAGCAATACTTGGCAATATTCTTGCATGAAAACAATTGAGCTGAATAGTGTTTTTTTTTTTTAGTGATGTGCTTTTCATTTTCTACAGTTCTCTCCCTGTTGTCGTAGAACTGGCCCACTTCACTCATGTTATGTCTGGCTCCTACAGGCACTGGAACTTGCGACCCCTTGTTCTCTCTCTCGAAAACTTATCTCCCAGCTTGAAGTCTTACCGTTTTTAAAAATCTATACTGCAGCCAGAACGATTCTCTAAAAGAAGCTTTATTTGATCATTCTGCTTATGCCAACCTCTTACTTTCAGTGGCACCTCATTGTTTTCAGGAAAACAACCAACCTCTTTAGCATGGCATTTAAGACCCTTCATGATCTGACCTTAATTATGTAATGACTGTTGTCTCAAAGAATGTTCTTTCTCTCATGTGCTACTTTCTAGCCGTATTCAACTTTTTGGGTTTATTTGAAAATGAAGCATTAAAACGTGGCCAAATGAATGGGGTTTGTTTGGATTCAGAAGGAACTGGATTTTAAAAATTTGGGGCACCTGGCTGGCTCAGTTGGTAGAGTGTGCAACTCCATCTCGGGGTTGTAAATTCCAGCCCCATGTTGGGTATAGAGATTACTTAAAAAATAATCTTAAAAAAATAAAAATAAAAAATTTGCAGAACATTTATTTTGTAGCTAGTACCAGATTAATGAATTTCCTTTCTATTTCTGGTTTGCTAAGTGAAAAAAGAAATCACATTGATACTGAGTTTTATTAGAAAAATTCTCCCATCCATTGAGATGATTATGACTTTAATCTCTAATATGTTGAAACACAGATTTATTTCTAATTTTAAACACATGTATTCCTTGTATAAACCCAACTGGTCATAATTTATTACTCTTTTCTAGATTCCTAGATTTAATTTTCATATGTATTGGGATTTTTGCATCTGGGTTTATAAGTGAAA